TCAGAGACCCGCAGCAGGGTTAGGTGAGCTCAGAGACCCGCAGCAGGGTTAGGTGAGCTCAGAGACCCGCAGCAGGGTTAGGTGAGCTCAGAGACCCGCAGCAGGGTTAGGTGAGCTGAAGGTGGGCCATATTTGCTGGATTTAGCCGTTCAGTGGGACGGTCAGGAGAGAAGCCAGGTGGGAAGGGTGGGGATGCACTGGGGATGGGGGGTGTACACAGGGGATGTAAGTAGAGATCGTCGGTGTGTGCAGCACTTGTTTGGAGTTGAGTTGTGAAGGGGATACGGCTCGGTGGGAGTGGATTGTTTGGGCTGAGTGTTGTAGGCAAGAGACTCCAACGTGTTTAAGTACTTATGAGAGAGACCCTGTCAAGAAGGGGACGATGCAGACTCAGGGGAGAGCAGCATACCTTTAGGAGTGAGGTTACTGAGAAAGAGAGGGGGTTCATAGCACATGGGAAAGGAAGGTCTCTGAGAGGAAAAGAAATACCCCCTCCGTTGTCAGGAAAAGAGGCAGAGAGGATGGGGACCAGCAGGGAAGTGTGTGAATGTGTAGGTGTTAATGGCGGAAAGGATAAGAATTCTTGTCTGAAGCTTCCATCAATGTGAATTGCAAAAATTCCAAGGGTCCGGAGGATGAGGGTGCATTAAAGACCTGGAGAATGGAGAAGGTGTTCCAAGTCCTGCAGATGGTGAGAGAGTGAGCTTATTAGAAAGAGGACAGCAGGGAGCATGCAGGTGACAGCGTGTCATGGATTTCCTAAGCTCTGTGGCAGGGCGACTTTCCTTCAGTCCATCCATCTACTCTGATGCTAAAGAAAGGGTTCCCATTTACCCAGGATTTGTGCGTTCTGCCAGGAGAAGAAAAGAGCAGGAAAGTTGGTGAGCTTGGGACCATCTCATTCAAGTTGGAGTAAGAGAGGCACCAAGAAGGGCTGAGACAGAATATAGAATGTGCAATGTCCTTGTGAAGAGGGCCCAGGTAAATGTCTTCCCGAAGTGCAGGGGTGGCCGTCGGAGGAACCTACACAGTGGGGATTAGAGATGGAGACCCAGAGGACTGAATATTTCTAGACGCCTTGGAAAGAAACTCCTAACTGTATGCTAGGACACCATATCTTGGCTACTTTATATTGGACTCATCTCCGTTTTTCGCAGAATGTTGCAAGGTAAAACAAATAGATACAGACGCCTGTGGGAAGTCCATTTCCCCCACCTCGTTTCTGGAGAGAATGCTGATACACACTTAGTTCTGAATGAGGCATGTCCTATGCGGGGCTGTGCCAGTTTGTTCTACTCACTGTTACTTGCTGTCTCTGTGGATGCTGTATGTGTAACATTTTTATATTGCCAACACAAGGTTAAAACGTTCGTGCTCATTAGCTTAGCTTGGTAATGCGAGTAGATTTTTTACATGCTGCCAGTGGCTTGCTAGGAATCATTGAGAAATAACAGTTTGTGAAAGCTGAAGTCAGTTTTAAAGGGCTAGTGTTTGCCTTTCTGTGTGATTTGGGTATGTATTTAATGATGGATTATTATTTCTGTTTGTGTTAAAAGCTATAACATACAATTCATCTTAGATACTGACTTAAAGATTTTTGAAATCTGAAAACATTGAACCAGAACTCTCCTCTGCCCAGGTGGCTCCTAACTCCTGCAGGTTTCCCAGGATCCATTTTGTAAATTATTCCTTTAGGGCAGCGGATGGTACCCTGGTGCCTTACAAAACAGAATGTAACTCTCAAAGGTACCCAAACCACACACCCAGAGGATGGTTTGTATCTGTGGAAGGATAGGGCTCATAATTTGGTAAAATTTATTTTTCACTGTGAGTATTAAAATATGTGAGGCATGACAAACATATATATGCATATGCTCAGTATGATCACACATTATGGAAAACCTCTTTCAGCGCGAGAAAAAGAATGTCAGTGATTGTTCGGACTCCGTCCGGGAAGTTACGACTTTACTGCAAAGGAGCTGTAAGTTTTTATTTTTGTCTTTTACAGTTTTGATTTATGATGGTTTATAATGTATACGTTCAGCATTTTGCTATGGAAATGTAACACAGATGTTTAGCATAAAGTTGCTGACATCCACTTTCCTTGGTGTTTTATAGTAATAGCGTTCAGCCTCTTCTGGTGAAATGTGGAATTCCTTCTGGGTAAATTTGGTGCTTTGAAAAAATTTGGCCTAGCTTATTTATAGAATTCAATTTTGATACTTAATATTTGAGGCTTATATTATAAAATACATTAGAAGACAATTAAATCAGAAAATGCTTTGAAATTAGAAATGTAGTGATCCACACCAGTTTGAATGTAATTTTTTAAAGACCATAGAAATGGGGGGGGGCGGGGAGGGGGATGGATCACAATTACTGCTATAATTTCATCCTATGGTCATTACTATTCGTCTTGCATTGTTTTCATTATAAAAGAATTTCTAACTATTGGTTGGCTTTGGTATATTGGCAGGTTATATTGACAGAGTAATATGTCATTCAGAGTGATTTTTCCTAGATAAAATATGTTTATACTCATGGAAAAATAAGGAGTCTACTGACCAGTCTACTCATGGGGAAAAAAGGAGCCTTTTGTTCCAACAATTATTATTTTCCTTCTGAATTAGCCTTTCCAGGTACCTGGTCTACTTGGACTAGTCAGGTAACTTACCAACCTGGAACTTTCCAATTTCAAATATAATCAACAACCTTGATTTATTAAATGAAACTTGGAAACTGCACTTATGAGGAAACCAAAGCTTATTACTTAAATTTTTATTGAAAATGTTTTTCAGTGCCTTGGTTTTAAAGCATTGAAATGCAGTTTTTGAATGCCTTGGTTTTAAAGCATTTTGGTAGAATTATTTCATGATGTCTCATAAATTTAGTTTTAGAATTCCTCTGGTTGTTGACTGAAACAACTAGCATTTATTCATTGTGTGCACTTTATCTACCAGACTCTCAACTGGAGAAAAGAAGATAAGACCCAACACTTGTCAGGAACTGAGTCAGGGAAATAGATATAAAGAGAAGTTTAGGATACAATATTGAGGTATATTGTAAAGCTCTTCCACATTCCAGTGGTAGCATTTATTGATAATGGAATAAAGAGAGCTTTTAAGACCTTCTACTTTAAATGGTTATGTGTCCAGTTTGCACCCAACTCACATCCTTCCTTTCTTAGTTTTGAGTAACCTTCCATCTAGAACCCTCGTTTGGGAAGTTAAAGCATTGAATAAAAAATAAAAACATTGGACTTCCTTTTTGAATAATCATAGAGGTAGTTTGCATACATTAACTTGCTTATTGTATTGTTTCCCCTCACTGCCAAGTTGGCTATGAAATGTGGTTGAATACTAAAAAGGCAGAAACATGTAAAACAAGGTACATTTGAGAACTGCAGGTAGTTTGGCAGAGAATAGTAGATTCGAGGCTGGAAAGGTAGACATGCTTTAGGTCATGGGGTTTTTTTCATGCTCAAGAACTTGTACATTTTTCTGAATTGTTCTGATGCCATTTGGGAAGATGACTTAAGGCAGGAAGGAGATGCATACGGAGTTCCCCGTTGATGCTCTTGACTATAGTCCACGAGTTGATAAGAGGATCAGAACCAAGACAGTTGCAGAGAGGATTGCGAAGACAGAGATTTAGGACTCAGTAATTGATTACATGTGGGTGATAAGGGAGACCATGGTCTAGAATTATTATCCGATTTGGACTTGGCTGAGTAGATGAAGTGGTACCACTTTCCATGATAGAGAGTTGGGAGCTACATCTGGGCCAAGAGGCAGAGATGCTTGGATTTCACGGGGGAAGGAACCTGGGATGCTGGTACAAAGTGTAGCTAGAAGGTAAAAGCAGGGGATTGATGAGCTCTTGTAAGAAGGAAATATTACATGAAAAGAGAGGAGGGCTAAAAGTGAGGAGTAGAGGATCTAAAAAGAGAGATCAGAATTGGGAAGAGAGTCTGAGGAGTGTTGATTCCCTGGCAGAGTGAACAATCAACAGTGACGTGTGCAACAGAAGACTTCAGTAGTTAAAGAGTCAGTTAAGGAGTCAGCTAATACTTTCCAGTCAAGTTAACACGGTCTGCTCAAACTTTAATGTTTCTCCTCTATTCCAAATTCATGACAGTGATTGACACAGTATAGAGAGAGAGCAGAAAGGTAGAGCCAGGCTTAAAAACAAGATAAATATCTTTGAAGCCCCAAATAGGAATAGAAAATCAGCGTGGTACACCGAACTGAGGTCTTGAGTTGAATGGGGTGGGAGTCCCAGGCCCGGAGTCAGGATCGGGGAGCGGTGGTTGGAATTTGGTTTCTGTAAGACAGTGGGGGCAAATAGTGCTTTCTGTAAAATGTAGAGAGGAGCCAGCCTCCCTTCTTTGATGCCTGAGACGGTGGTGAGCTTCCTAATCCTGAGAAGAGACTAAGAAAAACTCATGCCAACTCTGCTGGGGGAGTATATCAAACCACTAGATTGGGGTGTGCACAAGCGGAGAGCAAAACTGAGAGACACATGAGGAAATCTCGTTCCAAAGAGCACAAGCACATAAACAACCGGACATGAATTCACTCCAGGTGAAATCATTTGTGTAGACAAGTCTGACCAAGGATGCTTAGTTCAACATGATTTAAAAAAAAAAAAATTACAACTATTTTTAATCAAGAAGAAATGGAGGGGATGGGGATATGTGTAAGCTAAACCGGAAATCATGAATTTAAGAGAAAACATGAGAAAACGGAATAAACTCTAAATTAAACAGAGTGGAAGAGTCGGGGGTGCAGTTAGTGAATCGGAAGATGGTATGGAAGAGTTCGTCTAGAACATAACACAGAGAGATGGTGGCTCTGGTGTGTGTGTATATGGATGATTTCTTTTTCTCCTTCCAGGTTTTCTGCAATGAGGTTGCCTTGCTTTACTAATTTTTAAATGGAAAAAGTATACAATACTCAGTTTATGTCTGCAATAGTAGCCAATTTAAGAAGTTACGTTTACACACATAAAATCTTAATTTATTCAAGAAAATAAAAACCCTGCCCCAATTCCTCTTATATACTAGAGGAAAAATTAGAAACTTGACTATTACACTCAGTGCCTTAGGGACCGTAAAGTGACTGAAAATTTCTAATTAAGTGCCCCATACGTAAAATTCTGCGCCACACATCGAGAAGACCACATCTGAAATCAGTTATGTTTAGCAGTTCACCACCACATCATGGGCAGAGTACAGATAAATCCGAATGGCACACACAAACACAGAAAATATTCTTCTACATTTACATATGGATGTGTCTGATGATTTTAGCAAATGTCCCAGATCACAGAGGCCAAAGCTTCATGCGGCAGGTCAGTCAGTCTCCCCCTGTTGGGTAACCTGACGGCAAGATCAGAGTCCTCCTGGCAACTGCCGAATTTGTAGCAAGATTACCTAGATAACTTCAGTATAAATTGCAGTGCTTAAATAATTCTGTCAGACCTCTTTTTTCTATTTGCTACCTTCTTACTGTTGACTCTTGCACTTCACTCTATAGTCCTTCTTTATTTGGCAATATTGTAGAATATGCTTCAGGCTGACTGAGGACTACATCAGGTGTTTTATTCACGTAACACCTATCTTTTGAACAACTGCCACGTGCAAGACACAGTAGGTGAGGACGGAGCAGCATTGGAACCTGAGTCTAAAAGATGAATAGGAAAACGACTTTTCAAGTGAAAATTGACCTAAGATGAATTATTCATCGTGAAGCCCTAGGTTCTTTATTGACTATGCCATGCTGCCTGGGGAGCATCCCCTCATGGCCAATTTTCCACTCTTACCTTGCTGAGGGCTGGGACACCACATAAGTAAATTCATCTAGGATTTCCTGCAAATGTAGACTCAGTAGGCTCTGAGTCTGATCTTAGGGGATACACATGCTTTAGTTCCTGTGAAGAAACTTTTTTTGGTCGTAACCACGTGAAGCCATTACTTTGGGTGTTACTTTGGGTGAAGAGGTTATTTGTATGTATTTATTTCTCACATGTAAGCCTGGCCAATTGACTGTCACTTAAAAACATACTATCTAATTCATGTGGAAGGCCACATTCTGTCCCCTGCTTTCCTTGATACTATAAAGAAAGTAGAAAATTCTATTTCAAGCATCAGTTTCTTCCACTAGAAAACTTGGCTACATGGCAGAATTTAATCTCCCTTATCATTTTTGTTTTCATGATGTTAATTTTTTTTTAGAGATTTTCTTAGTTTTAAATGGCCTATTTTAATTTCATTGAAAATGTCATTAGCCTCTGGAAAAAAATAGAGTTCATAAGTTATAACTTTCATTCCTAGAAAGGAGCCAAGAGGGGAAATTATCATTTCCTTTTGCTTTGCCCCCCTTCCCATTCCACCACTGAAAAATGAAAAGAAATTCATAATTGGGGCCTGGAATATTCCATCTGTTCTGAGGTCACTAAGTTCTTGTTTCTCTCAAGGGTTCTAAATCATACTCCATTAGTCTGCTTCCAAATCTCAGCCCTGAGACTGGAGACCCCAAAATGGGTAATACCACTGAGAAAGTAATTGCAGGTAAATGATTTATTTTTTCCTAGTCTAATAAAACCATGGAGGCCAAACACTAAAATTCTTAAAACATTAAACCCAAGCCGAGGAATAACAAAAGGAACAATAAGCAGTTTATAAAGGGGCAAAAATCAGAGAAAAGTAAGTGGTACATACGTTCAAGCTGAAAGGGGCTTTAAAGATAATCCAGTAATTGAATTTCACAAACTAGGTGAATTGAGCTTTTAGAGGCTAAAGTGACACAATCAGAAATACTCAGCTACCGACAATGCGACGTTTGTTCGAAATTCTCCCTATAATACCCACCAGCCCTCTCTGTGCATTTGGACCTGTGTTTCTCAAAGTTTGTTCTGTGGGAGCACCAGTCCCATACAGATGCCCTAATCTCTAGCTCGGGCTCCATAATGAATGAGTCTGGGGCACATACCATGTGGCCCTCTTAGAGATCTACTGTGCACATCAGCATTTTAAAGGCTCCAAGAAGTATTACTGCAAGGCAGGTTTTGTTCAGCCAGCATTTCCCAAACTTTTTGAGTGCTGGACCATTCTCCCCTGTGGCACCTATGTCTTCATAGAGGACCTGTGCCCTGCAGTGTCCTGCAAAAATACCTTCAGGGGTGGGGGAGATCTTGCAAGATAAGCGAAGTGCTGGTAGAATATGAGATGTGGAACACTGGAGTAAGTCCAGGTTTATTCACAAAGGAGAAAGATGAACATATGGGACTCAAACCTTGTTTCTTAACGTCATTAGGGAAACAGTGTTATTAGAGAAAAAATATTTTGCGCTTTAAAGCTAATGCTCAAAGTGGCTGTTTTTATACTCATTGCTGCTCATAATGTTGCCAACGTCAGTGTTATTAAACTCAAAATGCTTCATTTAAGTGTATTATACCTCTGTTTGTTTTCCAGGACACTGTAATATATGATAGACTGGCAGAGACGTCAAAATACAAAGAAATTACCCTAAAACATTTAGAGCAGTTTGCTACAGAAGGTGAGTGTAATAGGGCAATAAAGCATGATTACAATAAAAAGAAATCATCTACTAATGTCTTGCAGGATTGTTGTTATTTTACCTAGAAATTCCTAAAGCAAGATAACAATTATCTGATAACTTAGGTTATACTATGTGCTGTTCCCATTATTTCTGTTTTGATTTCCTATGTTAAAATTTTGAGAGACTTGGTCCCTATGTTTTGGGGGTGTAGGGTCTATAAATCTGTTCAGTTTTTAGCATGGGTACTATTCACACTTTAAATACACTGTATCTCTAGCAGTGTAGGAGGAAAGGGACCCAAAAAACTGGATATTCTAATCTGAGTAAGAAAGAGGAAAAGAAATAAGCCTATATAACTATTAAAATAGTTACTCAGTGTAGTTTCAACTCAAGATTTCTTAAGCCCTTACTGAATGACAGGCTCCGTGTGAGACCTGGGAATCATGGTAAACAGGCTGAGTCCTGTCTCTCTGTCCTACTGAAATATATGATCTGTACAGCTCAACAGTCTAGGGGGATGATCTAGGTTAGGTGGGATGACATGAGAGTACTTAAACAGTAGGGTCAGTTACTCCAAGAATTTGTAGAGTCTTCTCTCTGAACTTAACAGAAGCAGCCAGAACTGTATCTAAATCTCCCTTCTAGGGCATCTGCCTTCGGCTCAGGTCATGATCCGAGGGTCCTGGGATCGAGCCCTGCATCGGGCTCCTTGCTCAGTGGGGAGTCTGTGTCTCCCTCTCCCTCTCCCTCTGTTGCTCCCCCTGCTTTGTGCTCTCTGTCTCTCTCTCTCTCCGACAAATAAATGAATAAAATATTTTAAAAAAAAAAAATAAAAATCAATCTCCCATCAAAATTTTCACTCTTGTCTGCCTCAGCTTGAACTGTTGCCAATGGCAGCAAGCCTGACCTCTGATCAAATCCTTTTTCCTCTTCATCCAAGCGATGAAAAGATAGGATTGTTTTTAAAAGCACTAGACTTTGAAAAGCAAGGACATAGAGACCCTTCTCTCAGTTCTCCGAAAATACAAGAGCATGGAGATGCTCACATTCATCTTCAGTGGGGCTTGGCAGGTAGAGCCTAGCCGGTGTCCAGCCCTGGTTCTTTTAATGGGGGAGGGTTGAGGGAGCATCCTTGTCTTCTTTGGTTGTGATATGAAGATATTCCAGCTCTTAGACAGAGCTGAGTTGGCTTGGCCTTCACCTCCACCCTATTCTTTCTGGCCCTAGGCTGAACAACACTTATACTCCACGGCTACCCCAGAATAAGTCTCCAGCCAAGTTTCCAAAAGAGAAAAACATGTCCTGATATGGCCCCAAAGATTTAAGTTCTATGCTCAGTGAGCTGACAACAGACAGCCCTACTCCTTTCTTGGAATATAGAGTCCTCTGGGCACTTTATGTCTTATGTCTTCTGCTGCTTGTTTCTGACATGTTACCTGGCCATATTTTATTTGGCTTGAGATCACTAGCACCTAGTTATTCTGAGAGTTAATGACCTTGAGTGAGGGTGTTGTCTTCTCAGGAACCTAATTAACTGCATTTGTCCTGGCTGCTAAATGCTTTTGTTTCTTCTTTGTTCCAATCCACTGTTTTTTTCTGGTTGAGGGTAGCTTCCAAGTGAATTATGAAATTGATAGGCACCAAGCACTGGGAGTAGGTCACCTCAAACTTCAGCTTTGATTGTTTTCCCAGGGTGTTTCTGATGGGTCCTTTGTTTTGTCACTATACCTCAGGTTTTTTTTAGGCTTTTTTTTTTTTTTTTTGCTATTTCCTTTCTTTTTAATTTAAATTCAATTAATTAACATACATTATTAATTTCAGAGGTAGAGTTCAGTGATTCATCAGTCTTATATAATACCCAGTGCTCATTACATCATGTGCCCTCCTTAATGTCCATCACCCCATTACCCCATCCCCCCACTCCATTCCCCTCCAGCAACCCTCAGTTTGTTACCTATGGTTAAGTCTCTTATGGTTTGTCTCCCTCTCTGATTTCATCTTGTTTTGTTTTTTCCTCTCTTCTCCTATGATCCTCTGTTTTGTTTCTTAAATATACTACAAATTTGCAGTGACGAAGAGCAGTAATAAGCACAATCATATATCCCTGTAAGAGGCAGATGGCTTTCCAAGTAAACTCCACTGGGGTCCCTCTCTTTCTTCATAAGCATCTATGATGCCACTGTTGTAAGCCAGCCACTGTGCTCAGTATGGGCACTATGGAATTGAAGAACTCAGGGCCTCTCCCTTCCAGGAGCTATACACTAACACAGGAGCTCCACAAGAAAAACAATATGGAACATTGTTGTTCACACCATATGAGCATTTGGGGATTTCTGCCTCGGGTCTGAGTGAGAGGAGAATTCTTCAGAGAGAATGGCATGAACCGAGTCTTCAAGTAGATGCAAGGCAGACAGTGGAGGGAGTTGGAGGGGGCGAAATGGAGAAAAAGTGACCAGCATGTGCAGAGACTGGGTATATAGGAGGTAAATGTCAGGGAGGGAGGTTGAAGACACTTGGTGCATGGTGAGTGAGCCAGCCTTTGGGGGTTGGACTTCATCCTGGGATGAATGATTGGAAGATTCCAAGCAAAAGAATAAGCTGATAAGATCAGGATGTTGGAAAAAAATCACTTTGGAAAAAGCACAAAGGCTGTATTGAAAGAGCTGGGAATCAAAATCAGGAGGCCAGCTGAAGGTGAGGGGAGCTTTGATACCCATTTCGCACTGAGGTTGTGTCCTAACTGAATCAGACGTCAACCATATTGTTTGAATTGAATTGGTCTTTTCAAAACAAGACTTAATTATATAAAAATGGGTCAGACTTCTGAATGAAATCTTATTTGGTGTTGGGGGGATGTCTGCTACCTTCTTTCAGGGTTAAGAACTTTATGTTTCGCTGTGGCTGAGATTTCGGAGAGCGACTTTGAGGAATGGCGAGCAGTCTATCAACGCGCATCCACGTCTGTGCAGAACCGGCTGCTGAAGCTCGAAGAGAGTTATGAGTTGATTGAAAAGGTAGGTGAAAGACCATTTTGCTCATACAGAAAACTTGGTTTCCAGAAAACTTCAGTCTTCTCAAGGAGCCAATAAAGATCAGAATATCTTGACACACCTCTTACTGTTGAGTCTCCTCTGGTCCAAGCGTTAACAAATCTTAATACTGGTTAGGGCTTTTGCTGAAAAGTCTCTGGAATTGCTTTGTATAGGTCTTCCTACTTTTTGTAGTTTTGGATCAAAGTTAGGCTAGTCTAACCACTTCTTGCCAATGTATACTGTTGCATCTGTGTCACTGAAGATAAGCATGCCCTCCCCCCACACACTTGCACACAAGTTACATACGCATGCGTGTGTGCATAGAATTGATCATGGTGTATCATGTGTAATACAAAATAATATAATAAAAATACAGCTTGTGTGACTCTGTAGCTAATAATAAAGAATGTATAAGTGAACAACCCAGTGCTTATCCCTGGCTAGCCAGTGTGTGTGTGTGTGTGTGTGTGTGTGTGTGTGTGTGTGTGTGTGTGTGTGTGTGTGTGTGTGTACATAGACACACATCCCTCATTTGCATCACAACTAAAAATACTCTCATTTTACAGATAAGGAAACCAAGGCTATTCATCCAAAAAGTGATGGATACACTCTGATTGATGCTTTATAAATAGCAAGAAATCTTGCTCCCTTAATTAAAAATAGCAAACATTTTTGTGTAGTACTCACTGTGTGCCAGGTGCTGTTTGGAGCCCTTGAATCTATTAACTACTTAATCCTCACAACGTCCCTTTGAGCTAGGTACTGTTCATTCCAGTTTTACAGATGAAGACACCAAGGAAACAGAGAGGTTAAGAAATTTGGTTGAGATTACACAGTTCAAAAGAGGGTAGCCAGAGTCCTCATTCTGGCTCCAGAGTTCATGCTCCCAGCCACTTAAGTTATATTCATTCTAACCTTTCACTTTCCATCAAATAACTTCCTAATTGCAGAATTCGTTAACTTTATTCATGTTTATACTGCACAGGATCAGGTTTGTCTGTTAGCTTCAGCTTACTGAATCCTGTCTGCAGGTAAGTAAAAGCTGACTTTTTTTTTTTTTTTTTTTTTAATCCTTCCTCTCTTTCAAACAATTTACTCCCTGGTGCTTCCTTTCTTGAAAGGTGGTTGCGCCTCCCTTCCCCCTGTGCGGTCGCCTCTGTGTAATACTGGGGAATGTCCCATCCTAGCTGCAGGTGGTTTTCTCTGCTGAATACAGTGGCCATATGTGACTCTAGATATTGTCTCTCCTGTCTCCTCAATAGACTGTGATCACTTTAGAAGCTGGTTTGTTTCTCAGACCTTCCTTATATTTGAACTTATTTTTGTATCCTGCTTATTTCTCAAAGACATGTGATAGCATATATGATATCTTCTAGCTTCATACTCATCCCCCAGTTGTAGAATTACACACACGCTCTCAGTTAACTTGTTGAGTCTCTCTCTCTCTCTCTCTCTCTTTCCAGATGTATTTATATATGAGTATGTCTTTGGGACATTATGTGGCAAAACAAAATATTTTATTATTTATAAGGCCATGACCATAATCTCTTTCAATCTCTCTGACCAAAGTTACTTGTTGTCCTCAAGTACTAACGGTATTGATTTTTAATCTGTTGCCTTTCTTACTCTTTTGAGAACTAAAACAAAACAAAAAACTACCGTTTGGAAATAACTTTTCTCCTGTCTCCTTATGTACACAGCCTGAAGATAATGGAGCCTTTGCTCTCCATGGTAATGTGGTAGAATTAATGTACAATAAGTTACAGTCAAATATTTGAAAATGGATTCTAAACATTAAATTTTGTTTCTGTAGGAAGCATACTGTCAAAAATTCTGGAGTTGAATGTTTAATGTGCCTAATACCATTTTTACTCTGAGCGCTCTAGAGTTTATAGATTATATTTTATAGGTTTAACAGTTGTTGTTGCGGGGGGGGGGCTGTGCACACAATATCTGATATTTAAAAACCTTGTGACTTCCATCTTTTAAATGAAATAGATGGTCAGCTTCTCTCCAGCAGATGGCGATCATGAGTCACACTGAAATTTAAGTTGCTTGGGGAAATGGCATTACATGTATACTTTTAGCTTACAAATATGCCTCCCTCTGAGTGCCTCTTTCCTAAAATGAATGAAAAGAGGAATTTATATCTATTTCCTTTTTACTTTCTGATAAGCCATGGTCTCTAAGTTTTATTGAAAAAAACCTGAAAGCCAGAAAGGTGAAGGGATTGGTTCCCTTGCTCAGCCAGCTTCCAAATAAGGACTGGTTTTCTGTGTCCATCCCTACCCCGGAAACCATAATTTCATTCAAGTATTAATTTCATTAACTTTAATTAGGCTGCTAATAGATGTTAGGTATTGGGGAAGCACAAGCAAACTAGGAACACTCAGCTGAGACCCTGAGCATCACAGTCTGAACAAATTCCTTAAGTAAGGAAATCTAAAGGAACCCAGAGTGGTGACCCTCAAACTTGGTCCAACGGAAGCCTTCAGAGAGGTGGTAACTTTTAAAATGAAACCCACAAGGTTATTTTACCAGTTAAAGGAGATGGGTGGTTGGGGGAGGTTGTTTTTGGTTTTGATTTACTATACAAAAGATCAGAGGTCTTTTTAGGGAAAAAGAACAGGCACATGATACTGAAGAGTCTGCCACTGAGAGCTATTTTTCTGACAAATGCTTTTCCCATCCCCGATCATTGGAAGACTGTTGGGTTTTTAATGTATCTAGGTCCGGGGCGATATCACTCCTTCCTGGTCTGAGCTTCCGTTCTTTGTTAAAATCAACAGGGGTTAGTGTTCCATAGGAATTGGGGGTGACTGCCATTAAAACTACCCTACTGAGGCAGGTTTCAACATGTCAGAGCACGTATCCTGCTGGTGCATTTCCCCGGCTTTAAATTCAGCTGTCGTCACCGATCTGTACCTCTGAAACAAATAATGCAATATATGCTAAGAAAAAAAAAAAAAAAAGAAGATAGCAGGAGGGGAAGAAGAACCATGAGAGATGACGGACTCTGAGAAACAAACTGAGGGTTCTAGAGGGGAGGGGCGTAGGGGGATGGGTTAGCCTGGTGATCAGTATTAAAGAGGGCACGTTCTGTGTGGAGCACTGGGTGTTATGCACAATGAATCATGGAGCACTACATCAAAAACTAATGTAATGTATGGTGATTAACATAGCAATAAAAATTTTTAAAAGAAAAAAAATTAAGCTGTCGTACTGTTAGGGATCAACCATTTGGCTTCTTCTTTGGCTACTTTAAATGAGACATGTTGATTATGTTATCTTTTTTTATGTGATTGGAATCTGTTTTTTATGCAGACCATGAGAATGGACTTCTCATATGAGATAGTGAATTTTAAACCATGAGAGTCGTTTTTAAATCTTTTTTTTTTAAAGAGCAAAACCCATTTTCCAAACAAAATATTGCCTGAATCATCATATATATAGTAGATAAAAGCAAAGCTGCTCTGTTTAAAGAGTGGAGGGGGAGGGAGGAGCCCCACATTGCCTCTCCCCTCAGCCTCAGCACCTTGCCCTCATCATGGTCTGTGAGGAGCTTTTTCACAATTCTGAGGTTCCACTGAGCACCGTTTGAAAACCATATAATATTCCATCTGTGTGTGAAATTTTTGGAAATGGGCTCCTCAGAATACTATATATTTTCAGTACTCTCTTCACTTTTCAATGAAAGATCAGATCATCGTTGTGGTCCTATACAAATTGTTTCTGAACATATTTGAATTAATTATGCGAAATGCCATTGACACGTTAGCGGTAGTGTTACATTAAAGACATTCAAAATTTGAAAGATTTGTAGAGTTTTTCCTGAAAACAATATTTTTAATATGTTACAAAAGAAGTAAAATGTTATAAATGATGAAGGTTGTACTTTTAAACCTTACTCTCTGTCTTATCCCTCCAGTGTTTGTTCAAACAAGTAATTCAGTTTTTGAAATTTGGTTAAAGCCTTATTCCTTTGGGTGCTATAAACTCCTAGCATAAGCTGCAAAAATATCCAAATAGACAAGAACATCCAACAAGATAATGGCATTGGTCCCTTGGCGCACTGCTTTGTCACTTTTCTTTCCCAGCAGTCTGAGCACTAGAAAGTACTCCTTTCACCCTCCAGAGCACTAAAGGAAAGAAGGAAATGTGAGAGGTTTGAAAAAGTCCTCTGGATATTGTTTTCCCCATTGACAGTCATTGTTAGAGGAGAGGATTTAGGACTTCTACATCCATCTATAAAATAACAGCACCATCTCTGTCCTCAGGTGGGACCGTCTGAGCTCTAACACTTGCATTCAGATGGTAAACTTACAGGATTTAAAAAAAAAAAATTCTAATGCTATAAGCTGTTTCAAGATGTTCCTGAAATATCTTTTTTTTTCTGTTACTAAATATAGGCCAAGAGGCAGCATTTATTCCTAGGAAGACAAAATCATACAGGAACAAGAAGGTTCACATAGTTAAAATGCAACAGGGATTAATTAGAATCCTATCAGGTACTTGAGGTATCTTGACCCAGTTTAGGAAGGGGAATTGTGGATCGCTTTGGGTTTTATGGAAGGTAACACCTCTTCATCTCTTCCTCACCACTTCAGAAAACTTCGTTGCCTCAGTCTTTCAGAGCATGTACTTGCCCTGCTTTACCTACTTTAAACTTGTTCTTTTGAAAGACAATATATTTGGACTCAGAATTTTGGATGATGAGACCACTTACTAGTGTTGGTCTGCATTTTTAAAAATCTGATTTTTAAAATAAAATTTAGAATTAATTTATTTGTATTTGGCTGGGAAAAATTACAGATAAGTAACAGAACAATTATGAAGATTTATGCTTCATTAGCAGTGGTTTTTCTGAAATTTCTCACCTTTTTCTTTGATCTGTCACTTTAGATTTATTCTGACGTGTTTCTAAAACAAATTTTTTTTTTTTTTTGCCTCCTATTCATACTCTGCTGCTGGGTTCCTTTGAA